TAAAAAAATAATTGTGTGCCCTGGCCAGTTAGAGTGTTGGCCTGTGGACCAAAGAATCGTGGATTCTATTCTGGTCAAGGGCATTACCTCAGTTGCGGTCCGTCCTTGGCCTGGTCAAGGTCATGTGGGACACAGCCAATTGGTATGTCTCTTTCACGTCAACGTTTCTCTTTCTCTCTCTCATGCCCCTTCCCACACTATCTGAAGATAAATAGAAAAATATCCTCTGGTGAGGATTTAAAAAAATAGTAATTGTGTGCAAACCTCTGAACACATGAAGTTATATTTAAAGTGTGGGATTTTGTGACTGTGAATAGTTATTCATTGAGTATATAATGAAAATCTTTGTGATCAAATATCTTTTTTTTTATTGTGACATAATCGACATATTAGTTTCAGGTACACAAGATAAAGAGTTAATATATGTGCATGTTGTGAAACAATCACCATAAAAAGTCATTACCATCTATCACCATATGTACACAGTTTTTTCTTGTGATGAGAACTTTTATGATCTACTCTCTCAGCAACTTTCGGATACACAATACAGTGCTAAATGGTCACTATGCTGTACATTACACCCCCAGATTTATTTCATAACTCAAAGTTTGTGGCTTTGAACCTCTTATCTGTTTTGCTCACCTCCCAACCCATGCCCCAGGCAACCATCAGTCTGGTCTCTGTATCTGTGAGTTTGGTGGGTTTTTTTTTCTTTGGTGGGGTTCCACATATAGGTGAGATTATACAGTATTTGTCTCTACTTATTTACTTAGCATAATGCCTTTAAGGTCCATCCATGTTACAAATGGCAAGATTTTATTAATTTTTATGGCTAAATAAAATATAAATATAAATCTACACATGTATCATATTTTCTTCATCCATTCCTCCATCAGTGTACACTCGGGTTGTTTTCATGTCTTGGCTATTGTAAATAATAATGCAGTGAACACAGGGGTGAAGTCAGTGTCTTTTCCTTCAAATACCCACAAGTGAAACTGAAGGATCATATGATAGTTCTATTTTTAACTATCTGAGGAACCTCCATACTGTTTTCCGCAGTGGCTACACCAGTTTACGTTCTCATCAACAGTGCATAAGGGTTCCCTTTTCTTCACATCCTTGCCAACACTTGTCAACACTTGTTGACTTTTAATTTTTTAATCCTCACCCAAGGATATGATTGTTATTGATTTCAGAAAGAAAGGAAGGGAGAGGGAAAGAAAGAATCATCGATGTGAGAGAGAAACATCAATCAGTTGCTTCCCATATATGCCGTGACCACAAATCAAACCCGCGACCCGTTGGTGCATGGCATGACTCTCCATACCAGCCAGAGCAACACTGACTGTTTGATAACAGTCATTCTGACAGGTGTGAAGTGCTAACTTCTATGGTTTTGATTTGCATTTCCCTGATGATTAGTGATGTCAAACATCTTGTCATGTACCTGTTGGCCACCTTAGGTCTTCTTTGAAAAAAAAAAGTCTATTCAGATCCTCTGCCCTTTTTTTTTTTTATCCTCACCGAGGATATTTTCCCATTTTTTGTTCAGATAGAGTGGGAGGGAGAGAGAAACATCGACGTGAAAGGGTTGCCACCTGCACGACCCAACCAGGGCCGGGGACAAACGGCAACCGAGGTACATGCTCTTAGGGGAACCGAACCCGGGTCTCTCTGGACTGCAGGCTGACGCTCTAACCACTGAGCAAAACTGGCCAGGGCCCTCTGCCCATTTTTAGATCAGACTGACTGTTTGTTTTTTTGCTATTGAATTGTATGAGTTCTTTATAAATTTTGGATACTGACCCCTTCCTTACAAGATACATGATACAAATATGTTCTCCATTTCAAATTTTGTTGGTTTCCTTTGCCATGAAGAAGGTTTTTAGTTTGATGTAGTCCCAGTTTTTTATTTTTGCTTTGTTGCCATTGTTTTTGGTGTCAAAATTCTAAAATCATTTGTCAAGGAGTTTACCATTACATTTTCTTCTAGAATTTTTATATTTTCAGGTCTTATTTTCAAGTCTTTAGTCCATTTTGAGTTGATTTTTGTGTATGATATAAGGTAGTGGTCCAGTTTCATTCTTTTGCATATGGCTGTCCAGTGTTCCCAACATTATTTATTGAAGACTGTTTTTCCCCATTGTATATCATATGTCATAAATTAGTTAACTATGTATGTGTGGGTTTATTTCTGTGCTGTCTATTCTACTCCATTGATCTCTCTTTTTATGCTACTACCATACTGTTTTGATTATTATAGCTTTGTAATGTAGTTTGAAATCAGAAAGCATCATGACTCCAGCTGTGTTATTCTTTCTCAAGATTACTTTGGCTATTCAGGGTTTTGTGGGTCTATATAAATTCTAGGATTGTTTGTTCTATCTGTGAAACTACCATAGGTATTTCGATAGGAATTGCACTGAATCTATAGATTGCTTTGGGTAATACGAACATTTTAAAAATACCAATTCTTCTCACCCCTAAGCACAGACTGTCTTTCCATTTATTTGTTTTCAGTATCATCAGTGTCCCAGCTCTCAATGTAAACTCTTTTACCTCCTTGGTTACACTTATTCCTAGTTGTTTTATGCTTTCTGATGCAACTATAAATGAGGTTGTTTTCTTAATTTCCCTGATAGTTCAATATTAGTGAGTAAAAATGTATACAATTTATTAATATTAATTTTATATCCTGCAACTTGACTGAATTTGTTTATTAGTTCTAACAGATTTTTGGTGGGGTCTTTAGGGTTTTTTCTATACATAGTATCATGTCTTCTGAAAAGAATGACAGTCTTACTTCTTCCTTTCCAATGTATGCTAAATAGCTCTGGCTAGGACTTGCATTTCAACACTATGTTGAATAAAAGTGGCAAGAGTGGCATCCTTTTCTTATTTCTAATCTTAGAGAAAAAGTTTTCAACTTTTTGCCATTGACCATGATGTTAGCTGTGGGCTGATCAAATTTACATTAATGTGTACAATAAATATTTAGATTATAACTTAATCATTGGGGGTAAGTAGCCATGAAAATATTTATAAGGCACAGGTTATAGTTGAAATAAAAATGTAAAGATCAACAGAGAAGAGTTAAAGTAAATAATAGTAATGTTTAGAACACTATTTTGAAGAAAATGATCAGAATAACATTTTTATTTTTTAAACCATTATTTAAGCTAATTTAAATATATATAAATGTAAAGAGTACAAAGACCTCAGGTACTCATCACCCAGTTTCAACTATCATCTGTTCATGGCCAATATTGTTTCATTTCTAGTCCTCCCCTTTTTCAACTGTTTGTGGATTATTTTGGAGCAAATTACAAACATCATGATTTGTAAATATTTCATTATACATTTCTAAATATTAGGGACTCTTTATTTAAACCATAATGCTACTTTCATACCTTAATATATCCCTAATATCATTATATTTCCACTCAGCTACATATTTCCCAATTGTCATATTTTCTATATACTATTTATATATAAATATTTTATTTTCATATTATAAATATATAAATTACTATTCCTGAGTCAGGATCCAAATAAAATCCATACATTGTGATTGGTTCATAAGTTCTTGAGTTTCCTGATCTAGTTTTTCATGTTTTTTTTTCCCCTTGTAATTTTTTACTTGGAGAAACTTGGTCACTTATTCCATAGGGGTCTGATCTGAATTTTGCTTACTGCATTACACTGGTATTGTTTACGTGATTGTCCATTTTCTGCATTTTTTTATAAACTGGTAGATCCAAAAGCTTACTTTTGATTTTTTTCTTTTAGCAATACTATGTTAGGAATAGTATGTAACCAAATATTATTTTAACATTGGTCTATCAAGTGGTGTGGGCCCATCCAGGTAAATAAAAGTACTTGAGTCTAACACATTGTGAGGCAAACGATTAGTGACTTGCCTTTTCTTGAATACTATTTAAAATGATCTCCAGGAATCTTCTTTATTGCTCCAGATACTTAAGGGGAATTAATAAGTCATTCTGTAGGTCCCGAGTCTCAGGGGATTGGTCCTTCATGACTGCAGTGGGCATCACAGGTTACATATTACGCTTTACACTGGTGCTGCCTAGTATAGGAGCTTCTCTGGCTATTTAATTTTAAAGTATTTAAATTACATTTTTCAAATGTAGTTGCTCGTTCACACTAGCAACATTTCAGGTGCTCAATAGCCACATGTGGTTAGCAGCTATCATACTGGCCAGCACTGATATAATCTATTTCTGTCATCTCAGAAAATTCTATTGGATAGTCTGATTCGGACTCCAGAGAAATCATGGAGAAGCAGATGAACTGAGAGCAATTTTCTTGCTATTCAAGTAGATTATTAGATGTTTGCTAATAAGTTTTCCCTGTGCCTCATGGCTCAGATTTGTGTGGTGCTGCCTCTAATGGTAGAGAGCTGCCCTTTCAAACCTGAATGTTGCAGGCACATTCTTTTGTTGGTGGAAAATATGGTTAGTGTGTTTCTGGACAACCATAGATCCTGTCAATATCTCTCCTACTGTATGTTATATTTCAGGTTGCTAATAAACACATGTAGGTGATAAACACAGATAAGCCATGTAGTGAAAGGAAAGGGGCGATAGTTGCTCGAGTAAAGTGGTCAGAACCAAACACATGAAAGTTATCTCTTAAGTTCCTATTTTACAACATTTTTATGAAATGATTTCACAGAGTGAAGTTTCATAGCACAAAAAAAACAAACAAACAAACAAAAAACAAGTCAGCAGAGGGAGCCAAAATGTTGATATCAGAAATGGTGTTACACTGGAAGTAAGTTTTATAGCTGGTTAAGAGAGGAATTCCTTAATTTTTAAGGTGTTATGGAGAAAATGCTTTTATCAGCTCTATTGCCTATAAACATTAACCTAATGGCTGCTTATGTACCTTCCTGTTAAAGAAATCATGTACTTTATTTCAATTTGCTCTAAAGATACTGTAGTTTAAATAATTGATCTCTGCTTAACCTTTTACAGCGGAAGTTCAGAGTGAAATAGAAAGGATTTTTGAACTTGCAAGAACACTGCAACTGGTAGTCCTTGATGCGGACACTATTAATCATCCAGCTCAACTCAGTAAAACCTCTTTGGCCCCTATTATAGTATATGTAAAGATTTCTTCTCCTAAGGTAAGTAGGCTTGCTGCTGTTTGCTCTGTAATCAAAATGTACTCCAAAATTTACTTTGTTTATGTTGTTTTGCGGTTATAACTGGCTATGTCTTTATCTATCATAGTGTTAGTCAGCTTTTAAGCTTGATATCAGCAAAGCATGATTATTAGTTTCATCGCTTCGAACATCTAATTCTCAAAGTGTGGCGGAACCCTTGGGGGGTTCTAAGACACTTTCAGATGGTCCACAAGGTCAAAATAATTTCCGTCATAATACTAAACACCATTCCTCACACCGATGGTGCAAAGCAATGGTGGGTGAAACCACAGGTGTCTAACATGAATCAAGACTGTGGCACCAGACAGGACCAGCAGTTGCTGTGTTTTTCCCGCCATGCGCTGGCAGTTAAAAAAATCAACAAAAACCCCCAACCAAATAAAATTAAACCAGTTTCACTTAGGTTTGATTAAATTTTGAGTCTTATACAGGCCTTTTAAATAGTCTGAGTAACGCCCAGCCGGTGTGGCTCAGTGGTTGAGCATCGACCCATGCACCAAGAGGCTGCTAGTTTGATTCCCCGTCAGGGCACATGCCCAGGTTGTGGGCCCGATCCCCAGTGGGAGGCATGCAGGAAGCGGCCAATTGATGTTCTTTCCCATCGATGTTTCTCTCTCTCTCTCCCCCTCTAAAATAATAAAGAAAAAAAATATAGTCTGAGTGATGAAACAGGAAGTACACATGAGCTGCATATCCCAAGTTGTTAGTTACCTTGAAGACACGCACTGGTATGATTCTTTGAGTTGTGAGCTAACGAGCCACTTTCTTCACGGAATACCATTTTTATATTAAAAAACTGGCAGGCTCTGTTTATTCAGCCTTGGGTATCACATCAAGAAAAACAACTATTAGCCTTTGTTACCAATGATAAAATTTGAGTTTTTGAAAGCTTATAATCTTCCCAATAGACAGACTTTTTAATGGTATCAATGATAATATTATTTAATGAAGTGAGTCAACATTTGGAAGATCTGAAGAACTCAGTGAAACATTATTTTCCAGACAGTCAATGAATGATGTTACAAATCATGCATGGTAAAAGACCCATTCAAATTCCAAGCTAGGCCAATGGAATTTAATGTAACCAAGTAAGAAAAAGTTCATCGATGTGGTTTCATGTGAACATAGCAACTAGTCTTTAAGAAACTACTGTAGTTTCGACACTACAAAGAATATCCACAATTATCTGAAAAGGGAACTAAAGTATTCCTTTTCTCAATTACATATTTTTAGGAGGCTGGATTTCTTCATATATTTCAATCCAAACCATACATTGTAGCAGACAGGAGATCAGGCACTGGAGAGGTTTGCCAAAAGTGGAGCTATTTTTTATAAAAAGCAATTTATGTTCACATGTAATAAATAGATTTATTGTTATGGTAAATATTGGATAGGGTTCACATAAAGAAATACTTTTTGGGTTTCTCAAGAATGTTTTAAACAAAGAGGTTATGAGACAAACATTTGGTAACTGCTAACCTTGTTAAAGGACTCAGAATAAGCTCCAGGGCTAGTTATCTTGGGACTTATGTTAATATATCAATTTTGCAGGTAATCTTATACATTATACGTTATAGCTCAATCTATTATAAGCCATTTGTGCTATATATAAAAAGTTCCAAAAAGGAACGAATCTTGTCATTTACCTGAGTGTAGGTATCCCTCCGTTTAAAAAAACCTTATCTTTTACAGGTTTTACAAAGATTAATAAAATCTCGAGGGAAATCTCAAGCCAAACACCTCAATGTCCAGATGGTAGCCGCTGATAAACTGTCTCAGTGTCCTCCAGTAAGTTCTCTCTATTTACAGCATAATCCAGATGAAGAGATTAGACCTGGCATTACATGTAGAAAGCAAACAAAAAGCAGATGGTTACGGGCCTGTTGGGGAAATTTTTCTCATCACTTCGGTGAGCTTCATTCCAAAGAAACAAACTGTCCTGCTTCCTGCCATGAGCACTGGTCCAGATCATGGCTCACAAAGAGCTATGGCAAGTTCTATGGTCACCTTGCTCTGTATCTAACACCTCATTAGTGTCCTAAATAAACAAGGCTGTGGTTTCAAAACCTTGGTTTTGAAGACAGATCTATTTGGGGTTAATCCTATTAGTCACAGGGAGCGGCTTGCTGCCTCTCAATAGCTCTCTGAGAACCTGATTTGAGACCGTGTAAAAACAAACGTCTAAATAATTAGTCACCCAGATTCTGACGTCTGAATACAGTCCTACTTCTAATTCATGCTTTACACACCATACTTTGGGACTACACTTCTAGGCTGTCTTTTTTTTTTAAGTGCAAGTATTTCAGAAGCTCCAAAACTTAGGACTATATCAATTTGATTGCTTGGAGTAGGTTACAATTTATGATAAACACTTTTTGGACCATGTGAAATCATCAGTGGTTTCAGTTTCTTCTGCCAAATTTCATGTCCTAATCTTGCCTCATTAAATTAATTTCCAGAGTTAAACTCTTCAGTCTGTATCACAACAGGCTTTTTCCTATATGATTCAGATTGGCATTTTGTTTTTGTATCTCTTTCTACCATAGTTGTTAAAGGTGTCTGTCAATAGTGAAACAGGCATTGACGCTGTTGTTTAAGCATCCAGTGTTCTAAACAAGGACCTACTCTGACTAAATAGGACAGTCAGCAGCTGGAAAAGAGGAAGGAGCACATTAGCCACAGCAAATACAGAGTGGTGCAGCTCATGAGCCCCTTCCTCAGTTATGAGGCTGGGGTAAGGGTGTGAGCCCAGGTCACTACTGGGCTGGCATAAGGGTGCTGCCTGTCTCTGCAGGAGTTGTTTGATGTGATCTTGGACGAGAACCAGCTCGAGGATGCTTGTGAGCACCTCGCCGACTACCTGGAGGCCTACTGGAAGGCTACCCACCCTCCCAGCAGCAGTCTCCCCAACCCTCTCCTCAGCCGTACTTTAGCCACTTCAGCGCTGCCTGTTAGCCCCACTCCAGCCTCTAATTCACAGGTAAGAGAGACCATCTTCGCTGAGAAACTGGGCTGCCAAAGGTCCCAGCACTGGCTCTGTCCGAACTGAGACACTGAGTCATTTAAACATCGTCAGTGTGAGTGGTGCATCTGAGAAAAGCAGTGTAAACACAATATGCTGTGGATACATGCAGACTGTAGGCCTCTCTCACTACATGTTAAGACAAAGACAGAAGAACTCTCTACATGGCAGCAGTGGAATCAGACTGCCAGGCCCCACCTCTTACCAAGCGTAAACCTCAAACGAGTTCCTCATCTGCTCGTTGCCTCAGGAATAACTCTGGCAACCTATCTCAGGTTAATTAGTTCATGTGACTGCTAGAACTGCTTGTCTCATAGTAAGTGCTGTTTTAGCATTTCATATTTGATCACTTGTTTCTCCTTCATCCTTACCTTAAGCCAAACCCAACATCCCAAGGACTTTTATTCTTCCCACATGTATTCAAATAAGGTAGTTAAGTATACACCTCTGTGTAGAAAAATCTCAGCGACCTGTATTTAAAGCACAATAGAGCATATAAAAGAAGGCCCTCCTGGCCAGCATGGCTCAGTGGATTGCGCGTCGTCCTGTGGACTGAGAGGCTCGGGTTGTGGGCTGGATCTCCAGTGAGGGGCATGCAGGAGGCAGCTGATCGATGTTTCTCTCCCTCTCTCTCTCTCAAAAAAAAGAATGCCCTCCTTCATTTAATCATTTAAATAAAAAGGTTACTCTGTGTACTGTTCTAGGTACTTACAAGTGCCACTAGACATCATCAAAAGAATTACGTAACTTAACTAGGTGAGATTTCATTTTAGCATTTTAGATACTTAAAGGAACTAAACACAAATAGAGTGCTTTGTGATGCATTACTTCCTTACACTCTGACCTTGGTTGATGCCTGCTTTCTCCCTTCGCTACTAGGGTTCTCAAGGTGATCGCTCTGCTCTTGCCCGTTCTGCCTCCCAAGCTGAGGAAGAACCCTGCCTGGAACCAGTGAAGAAATCCCAGCACCGGTCTTCCTCCTCAGCCCAGCATCACAATCATCGCAGTGGTCCCCATCGAGGCCTCTCCAGGCAAGAGACATTCGACTCAGAAACCCAAGAGAGTCGAGACTCTGCCTACGTGGAGCCGAAGGAAGATTACTCCCACGAACATGTGGACCACTATGCTCCACACCGTGACCACAACCACAGGGATGAGCCCCACGGCAGCGAGCACAGGCACAGGGAGCCTCGGCACCGCTCCAGGGACCTGGACCGAGAGCAGGACCACAATGAATGCAACAAACAACGAAGCCGTCATAAATCTAAGGATCGCTACTGTGACAAGGACGGAGAAGGAATATCCAAAAAAAGGAATGAGGCTGGGGAGTGGAACAGGGATGTTTACATCCGCCAATAACTTTGGTCCTTTTGTGTTTTTGGATTTTTTAAGTCTTGTATTACAGCACCCTCCTCAATCTAAATCTTTGGGGTCAACATTGCATTCATATGTGATCTGTCTTGTATATTTTGTATTGCTGTTGCTTACATAGCAATAGCATGACAGAGTGTTAATATACATTTATTTTTCTTTTATAAGTGCTACATAAATTTGCCTAGTACGGCTGCAGTCTTCTGGTTGTGTACTGGACTTTGCAAAAACTGTTTGGGGTAGCTGCCACTTGAACAAATTCTGTTGCCATCCAGGTGGCATTAGTATTTTAAGAAATATAGCTGATATTTTAAAAAATGTAATTGATATATCCAGCAAGCCAGAATCAGCCCAGATAAAAAGGCGAGTTTCTTGAGTCTCCAGATTTTTAATATGTAGGCACCTGATTTGCATATACATTCATCCATGGACCACTGTTTCTTGCTAGTACCTCTGGCTGACTAAATTTGGGGACAGATTCAGTCTTGCCTTATACAAAGGGGATCATAAAGTTAGAATCTATTTTCTATGTACTAGTACTGTGTACTGTATAGACAGTTTGTAAATGTTATTTCTGCAAACACCTTCTTATGATAATTATATATAATATATGTATCTATATATATATATCAGTTTGATCACGTATTTTAGAGTCTTAATGCCAAGTCAGCAGATTTGCTTTATGAATTAAAGGGACTAGAAATGCCCATATTCAGGAAATTTGTAATAACATCGTCTAGGCATCTGTCCCCATTCTAGTAGAAAGTCTGTACATACTGTAAATACGTGTGATTGCTTGACTTGAAAAGGTTTAATTTCTGAATGTTTTACCATCCTTGTAAGTTTATAATTTTGACCATAAATTATGGTAAATATAACCAAACTCCAAAGGTTGTTCTAATCCATGCAGCTCACACTGATTGTGACAAACACATTAGTAGCTAGTGTCTCATGTCACTGCACTGGAGTCTACAGGCCGGTACTCTGTGTGCACGTGTGTGTGTATGTGTGTGTGCAAGTGGTTGGCGGAGATGAATCTGAATGCTGAAGACTGACTAGAATTCTACCCACCTGGCTTCAGACTGAACTGTGCTGCCTCAGTGACGCGCTGAGCAGCCGCGGCGTGCTGCCAGAGGTGCCTGGGAAAGCGTTCGGCTGTTGGCTCGTTTTAGCTCCTAGAGGGCAAAAAATACAGGCAACTTTTAACTGTGAGTGTTTCACTGGAAATGTACAATCTGTGTGTGTTCGAGTATCTGTTATAGTAAGAAACGTTTACACAGCTTGTAGAATTATTTCGTGGGAAAATAAATTTTTCTACCTTCTCCCACTTCCTTCTCTAACCCTGCGTATCATTCTGTCACCTCCAGTTCACCCATCGTTCCATTCCACCAAACTCGGGCTCACTGTCTGTCACCACCTAGAAGTGCTTCTTATAACCAAAGTTTCTGCTCTTCAGACGTAATCAGGGCAAATGGGGTGACTTGAAGTGAACAAAATGGTGAGAACATTTTCCTACATCAGACATCTGCTCTGTAGGGGAGGCCAGAAGATCCCATGTCCGTGCCTCACGCTGTGAGCAGCTCTCAGTGCGGGGGCCACGCTAAGGCAACACCTCCATGTCTCCGAAGTGTACGTTTTGTCCAGTTATGACTGGACTGGTAAACAATATTTGGTGTACAAGTAGCTAGCACTTAACTTGTCCCTGGAGAATGCCTATCTATACTTGCCTGACTTCAGATTTGTATATTATATAATTATTTTGTTAAATAAGTTAGTCTGCTTTTGTTTTGCTTCTTTTATTATTCCATGTTCTTGCCAAATATTCCTGGACCTTTATAAATAAAACTGTTTCACATTTAACTCCTTATTTACCCTACCTGCAAGAAAACTCAGCTTTAAAAATGAGTTACATATATAGTATTTTATCAGTTACTATGAAATGTTTCCCTCAGAATCAATGTACTTGTTCATTAGCTCTTTACTGTTGAATTTATTTATTGAATATGAAAACTGTGGTCATTATATATAGATTGATGCAAAGTAGTCACATCATTGGGAAACTGTATTCCAATTAAGATTACTTTTATAAAATATTTGATAAACTTTCCATCATGGTTAAGATGCTGCTGATCACCAGCCTCATCCTTTGCTATACATAATTTCATCCCAATGACTTCAGAATATTTAAATTCTTGAAGTATAACTGGTATGAATCTAATCTACTGCTATCATTAATCCCTTTCAAAAGGTTGTGGTAATGGATTTCATTTTTAAATTCTATATTTGGATTCTTAGTTTTTCACTTTATTGTGAAATATGCTAGTTCACATCAGAGTACTCCTCAGAAAACTATATTGCAAGATTTGACATAAAAACTGTACAGCAAGCATACCTATGAACAGTATGTACTAAATTTGTAAATGAAGAAATAATCCCAGAGACAATGGGATATTTACTGACTTGTGGAATGTAAAATTATAGTTTTTTCACACAGCAAAGCTTAACCTTAACTTAATTGTAGAATCATGATTTCTATAGTCTACCTAGAAGTGCTGGCAATGTTCTTAATAGTTCTACTGTGTCTTGTCGAACCCACTTCAGTTCTTTTCCCTGTGCTCTTCCTCTACTGCTCATTTATGTTACTGTTACAAAAGGTGCTGCTAACTGTAGGGTGTCTTAGTCATGTTGTACTTTGGGACAATGCCACATTTTTAACATGGTCTGCTATGCATTCCTGTTAAACATTCGCTGTCAGCTACACTGAACTGTTCGGCAAACCCGATTTAAAGTCATTCATATCAAACAAATAAAGAGCTGGCTTCTGCACTGTTTATTATTAGCAGTATCAATCGTGAGTTTAGGAATAATTCTTATAGTTGAGAATGTTAAATATTCAACAACACTTCCCACTGGTGAGCATTTTCCTTGGGGCAATGCCAATCACTGATGCTCCTTCAGGTCTGATAAAGTCATAGCTTAAGGTAGGCAACAGATCTTTTAAGATATGAGCACAGAAGAATGATTTTCCACGTTAATTCTACATGTGCAGTGATTCTTGACTCAGATTTTAAATTTTATTCTTCACTTTTAAATGAAGATCCATTTTGATGACAAATTTAATTCCCCACCCTTGTCTGTTTGCTCACTGATGTAATGCTGCTAGTCTTGGATATTCTGATCTTATTGAAACGTTAAGAGTCACACTGTTAGAGAAAAAAAGTAACTAGATGGTATGGGGTCAGTTGTTTAATTCTGGCTAAATTATATTTTTAACTATTTGTACTTCTCTTTGCTATTTAAACTAAAATGTGATACAGGGTTTTGAAGTAAAATGTACTCACTGTTGAATTAAAACGCTTTCTCTGTTTCACAGACACATCTATGTCAACACTAAGTATGTTAAAAGATAATATATTAATTTTCTTCCACATTTTCCTGATCTTTTTCCTTTTTATTGTATTTTTTCTTGCTTCTCTGTTCTTTAAGATTGAATGTTTTGTTTTCCAATCTTTAATTCTTGAAGGAAAGAAACCACTGAAAATGTGTATGTTAAAGGAAAAAAATTTTAACAATATTTATTTGTCATTATTTTGGTTATGCAAATATTTTTCTTCTACTTTGCCTGCATTGCTTATATTTTGCTATTTATCAGTATTAATCAAAATTTACACATTTATGCTACCATTTTTATCCTAGCTTAGCACATAAGGCTTTGTTGAGAACATGAGAGGAAATGCATTTTGTGGATTTTATAATATATATTTAAAATTTGGAGAGGTATGCTGAAACTTAGAAACAGAAGTGCCACAGTAAACACTATTTCTCTTTAGTCAAATGACATCTACTGGCTATAAGGCAGAATGAGGAATATAAAGAAGTCAGTCATGTATTTGAATCTTATAGAGCTTGAAATATTTTTCCCTTATTCAAAAAGCATCTATTGGTGATCTGCTCTGAAGCAGTAACAGAAAATACAGAGTCCCTGCCTCCAGGATCTTCCCAAGTCTGAGGGTAGTAACTAGGGGCATACCTAGAAAACTGGAATATTTTCAAAGTGCCACAACAGCAGTAGATATGGGCCCTGGGGTAGAGAAAGACAAATGCCTACCCCAAACTCAAGTAAGTCTTCAAAGATGAGGCCGTTGAAAGGTCTTATCTGACCCTGGAGGCCTTGCAATCTTGATGGATATAGTAGTTATGAGACATTCCTAACAGAAACTTATGGGGGAGGGGGCGATTAGGCAATTGTTTCCAAGTGTCCATTTATATGCCCAAGCTCAGGACTTTGGGGATGATTTGATAAGTTAACAAAAACAGATATATATAACTCTACAAATAACAGCCTTTAAACTAGGACTGGGTGTTTAAATATATCTTATCTGAAAAGCAGGTAGGATGAAGCAAGAGTAAGTTTATAATTGATTTGTTTGAAAAGTAGTCATTTACATTGGCCACCAAACGGGATGTTTGGTCACTTTTGTGGTTTGGATGATGTTCTTGCTTTTATCTAAATTCAGATTTGATTTTGAAGTCATCTTTTTGTGTCCTGATGTGTCACAGTCATAGAGCCTTGTGTGACGTTGGTGTTCTGTGAAATGACGTTCGACAGGAGAACACCAAAGCCCTGTAAGTGCCATGCCGGTTCCCAGTTGTCAGCAGCTGGCTTTCTCTCCCACCAGTCACATCTTTATTAACTGTTACAGCATGTGTTCTAACAGACGATAAAAGCTACTGACATTATGGAATATTCTCATTGTTTTAGTCTGCAAAGTAAAAAAAAAATTCATTTTACATTTTTAGTTTAAAATCATGGGAGAGAAAAAGCTAACAGTAGAGACAGACTCTCATTTGGAAGAGGTTCAGACTTCATTTGAAAGAGGGTTTATTTATCAAATGGTAAACAGAAAACGAGGTAAAATACTCAGTTCAGTAATTGGCACATGGTAAATGTCATATTTCCCATGCCCCCAATTCTCAAGAAACTACTTACTTACAAACTCAGGAATAAAAAATAATTATTATTTACAACCAAATTAAATTTTGCTAATTTTTTTCCTTGTTAGATTCATTGCTTCCCATTCAAATTACTTGCAATATTTACAAATTGAAACATATGACCCCAAATAAAAATGTTTCAGACATCTATAGGCATATCCTTTTCTTTGAACTCTGCTAAATCCAAAACAAAAAATTATTTTAAAATTACAAAATATAATCTTATACCACCCCCCAGATTACTTCCTCTGTGTTTCTTGATCCTTAGTGAAACAGCTGGCAGCCTTTTCTGTTTCCTTAGCAACCATGCCATGAATCACATGACCTGACAACAGACTGGTTTTTAAATTAAAACATGCACACACGCAGAAAATGTATGGAATTTTCATTTCTAAGGATCCTTCTCCTGTATACTTTTGCATTTTACAAATTTTGCAATAAAAAAACCTATACAATCCTTATTGGCCAGCCAAACCATGTCTTCTACTCTGGACTCTCTGAGAGAATCAATGTCCATGTCCTGTAATGGCACAACAGACGGATCAAATCGCTGCAGCTGTTTCAACTGTTCAAATGACAGGCCAGCTCCCATCATTCCCTCTCCTCCAATCTGTGGTTCCTGTTTGGAGGATAGGAATAAAAATATACATGAACATCCTACAATTAGTAAGTGTGTGTACGTGTGCACAATTTAAGTTAAAAGACAAATTCAGTTGTAATTACCCCAAGTTCCAAAAATAGAAAAATGAGTAAATACCTTTTAATTTTGTAGAACGTACTGTTTTTCTAGGTAGTCAAGTGGGAAAGCAGTAATATAAGGTAACATGAAGAATGAATACCTGTTAAAGCTCATATGTTTATCAAATATCATAATACTGCAAAGGACCTGATTTCATAGTTAAAAATACATGAATTCACATCATAGCCCTGACACATTGTAGCTATATGACCTTAAGCAAGTAATTTTACCTAACCATTCCCTCATCTCATAAAACATAAAATACTCAATCTGAGGCTTAAATAAAGAAGGTGGTATCATGCCTGGTATGTGTTGGCACAGAGTGGCTGGCACATAGAGGTATATGGACCTCAATAAATGGAACATTATTATCAATAACAGCAATAGGTAAAAATTCAGCTTTATTTATGGGACTTCCCCCAAACTGACAGGAGTTCTTTGGGCCTCTAAAGATGCCTCTCTCTGACCCATGCCAATTAGATGATACATTTTTTTTTCTGTTTTTTTTTTATCCTCACTTGAGGACATTTTTTTTCATTTTTTGTTCAGATAGAGTGGGGGAGAGAGAGAGAGAAACATCGATGTGAAAGGGACACATCGAGTGGCTGCCACCCGCACAACCCAACCGGGGCCGGGGACAAACTACAACCGAAGTACATGCCCTTAGTGGGAACTGAACCTGGGTCTCTCTGGACCTCAGGCCGACACTCTAACCGCTGAGCCAAACCGGCCAGGGTTTTTTCTGTTTTTAAATGCACTAGAATATAAAAAAGAGATAGATTAAGGCAGCATCATTCAGTTTAGAGGAATAAAAAATCATAAGGAATTGAGTGATACTTGCAAACTACTGCAAAAGATCCATAATCCTAGTTTGAGTCCCCATTTCACAAATGGTTATGTGTTTCTGAAGGTGTATTTTCTTAGGTGTATGTCTAAACACTTATCGTTTATTAATCTATGGGGGGGATTTTATACACACACACACACACACACACACACAAATTTCAAGTGAATTCTGCTGAAGACTTATTTTCATCTACAATGTAATTATCTTAATTTCTGCATCTAGAAACAATCTCGAGATTGCTTTTTTCAATGTATTCTAATTACTTACCAGAATTCTATACAGGAAGGTATTAAAGTTATATGTTCAATGTATCTGAATGCATGTGAGCATTATTCCAGATTTAAGCTCAATCTCAAACATCATGGGCTAAACATCTAGTTATAAATATGTGTTCAATAAAAATCATAACAGAAATATAATGCTAGGTAAAATAAAGTATGATAGCTTTTTAAATGTTACATAAGTTACATAAGAAACTGTAAAGAAGCAGTAATCTCGAACCATTTCCCCGCGTTCATTCTTCTTTTGATATCCCAGTTATTTTAAAGCCTGTCGGGGCTTTGATGTGATATGAGAAAAATATGCTCAACATTTTCCTTACTTGAGGAAAATCTAGGACTGGGAGGGGCAAAACAACTTGGAAACAAAATTCTGAGCAACATGAACAAGAACCACAAGTGAAAGATGGATCTAACAAAAATACACCTGAGTCCTGTGGCACTTTTAACACAATGACAAGGAATGAACACAAGGAAAACTTTGTCAGGCAATGAAATTCTCTATGAGCAGTCTAAGCAGATTTAATGAGAAAAACGTTTTTGTTTATGGTAGTATTTGTTTCAGAAGTTTTACCTGACATATTTCTTCATAAAATAGCCTGTGTTTGTTCTTACAGTTAAGTTTCTGTGCTAGAAATTATTCTTACCTGGGGCTGAAGCTGAAGGCAAGGAAATGTTGTGAGGGCCCAGGCCACTTGTTCTTCATTCTCTGCCAGTGTGATCGTGCATGTGCTGTAAACAAGCACCCCGCCTGGCTTCAGCAGCTTCACCGCCTACACAAGAACATGATCAGACCACATGAACCACCAGGCTAAATCAACATCTTAAGGAATTTTATATCTATATGATACCTTTCAGATACTTGGGATAAATAAAAGGATGTTCTGTATGATCAGGATTCTTTCCTAATTAGATGTTCCAGACTAGATACATTTCATTATCTTGGAGCTCTTATAGTTCATTTGAACCAAGACTTTCCCAAATAGGATCATTTAGTTTCACAACTTTAGATACCAAATTTACACTTTTAGGCTAGCTTTCTTTCTAAATTCCATACTCATATATTCGAATGCCTTCTCTATATACTATGGAATTTGACATGTCCCAAAGTAAACTCCTATCTTCCCTCTGAAATCTACTGAAGAAGTATTTCCATCATTCCAGATGTTCAGGTCCCAAATCTTAGATTATCCTTTATCACATTCCTCTCTCACATTCCCCATACATTAGCAAATCCTATTGTCTCTACCTTCAAAATATACCCAGAATTTGGCTACTACTCACCAACATCATTGACACACTTATGAATCAAGTCTCATAATCTTTGCCTGGATTACTGCAACAGTCTCTACCTAGTCCAGCTTCTTCCCCTTGCCATTCTACAATATATTATCAGTATGGTAATCAGAGCAGAACTTTATAAAGTTGTCACTTCTCAGCTCAGAAGCCTTCAAATGCTCTCCATCATCGCTTGGAGTCAAAGCCCAAGTCCTGACAGTGGCTGTCCAGCCCCACACAAAACAGGCCTCTTGCTGCCTTTCTGACCGCACCTTGAACACCCGCTCACTCTGCTCTAGCAACACTGGCCTCTGCTGTTCTGGAGCACACACAGCACCCCCTCGCCCCCTGCCTCAGGACACATGCACGAGCTTGGAAAGCCCTTCTAACTGTCTGCATTGCTTGCTCCTTCACAGTTTTCTTATCGCTGCTCATATGCCACCTTTCCAGCAGTGCCCACCCTGACCACCCCATCCTACATAAAACTGCAACTATTCCAATCCAATGCTCCTATCCTCCCTTCCTAATAACTTACTCATCTATTTGTTAATTTCCCTACCCAATCAGAATTGAAACCTCATAAGTAAGGGCAGAAACTGTTTATTTTTTCACTGCTGTGTTGTCGGCACCTAGAATAATATATTACATACAGTAGACGCTCAATGAATAATTCCAATAAATGAGGAGCTAAGATGTTATACAAAAATAAATTTGTGCCAAATAACTAAACTTTATCTTCTAAAATTTTTAATGAAAATCTTCTGTAGTAAATCATGTGTGTGTGTGTGTGTGTGTGTGCGCGCGCGCTTTCAAATCAGCGTATGATGATCAAAATTTAAATTTTGTTACTGTGGGCCAGCTATTATTTTAAGCACCTTACTGGGTTTTTTCAATAAATCCTTTTAACAAGTATGAGGTATGGTTACACTCTCCACTGCGGTAATTTAGTTTGAGCTATTACCCCATTTCTCAGATATGGAACCAATGTACCCAAAGTCACTTATGGGGAGGGCGCATGACTCCAATCAAGATTTGTCTGGTTCTGGCACTCTTCAAGAAACAAGAAACATCTCAAATAATTAATCAAACCTTACAGCTAAAGAAACTAAAAAAAAAGAAGAAGAAGAAAAAAATAAGCCCAAGGTGAGAAAAAGAAAAAATGTAATAAAGACCATGGCAAAAATAAACAAAATAGAGTCTAAAAACAACAACAAAAACCCCTAGAAAAGATCAATATAAATTAAAAGCTGGTTCTTTTTTTTAATCCTCACCCGAGGACATTTTTTGATATTTTGTTCAAATAGATTGGGAGGGGGGAGAGAGAGAGAGAAACATCGATGTGAAAGGGACACATCGAGTGGCTGCTACCTGCAGGACCCAACCAGGGCCGGGGACAAACTGCAACCATGCCCTTAGCGGGAACCGAACCCGGGTCTCTCTGGACCACAGGCTGATGCTCTAACTGCTGAGCCTAACCGGCCAGGGAAAGAGCTGGTTCTTTGAAAAGAGAAACAAAATATATATAGCTTTAGCCTATCTCATCAAGAAAAGAAAAAGAAAGAGGGCTCAAATAAATAAAATCACAAATTAAAGAGAAAAAGTCACAACCATACCACAGAAATACAAAGGATTATAACAAAATACTACAAACAAATATATGCCAACAAACTGGACAACCTGGCAAAAAACGAATAAATTCCTAAAAAAAACACAATCTCCCAGGTCTAAATCAGAAAGAAAAAGAACATCTGAACAAATCAATAACTAAAATAAATCAAATAAATAATTAAATAACTCCCAACGAACAAAATCCCTACAGCATATGACTTCATAGGTGAACTTTACCAAATATTCCACCCAGCCCCAAATACTTATCTTTCTCCAACTATTCCAAAAAATTAAAGAAGGGAGACGCGCCAATTCATTTTACAAGACCAGCATTACCCTGATACCAAAATCAGAAAATCAGAAAAAGACACTACAAAAAATAAAACTTGGAAAACAGTATGGAGGTTCCACAGAAAATTAAAAATAGAACTACCATATGATCCAGCATTCCCACCATTGGGCATTTATCTGAAGAAATCCAAAACATTAATTTGAAAAGATACATGCATCAAAAAGATACATGCATCACTATGTTCACTGCAGCATTATTTACAGTAGCCAAGCTATGAAAGCAACCTAAGTGTCCATTGATAAACAATTAAATAAAGAAGATGTGGTACACATATACAATAGAATATTACTCCAACATAAAAAGACAATGAAATCTTACCATTAGCGACAACATAAATAAACCTAGGGAATATTATGCTAAGTGAAATAAGTCAGACAAAGACAAATATCATATGCTATGTGGAATCTAAAGTGCAAACAAACAAACAAAACAGAAACAAACTCATCCACACAGAAAATAAACTGACGTTTGCCAGATGGGAGTAGAGTGCAGGGCTAAGTGAAAAAGGTAAAGGAATTAAGAAGTACAAATTGGCAGTTACAAAACTGCCACGGGGATGTAAGTGCAGCACAGGAAATATAGTCAATAACACTGTAATAACTATGTATGGACTCAGGAAAGTACTTGACATATTGGGGGGAGTCACTTCATAAGTTATATAAATGTCTAGCCACTATGCTGTACACGTGAAACGTATATAATACTGAATGTCAACTTTACTTGAAAAATCCAAAAATAAAAATGTAATATAAAAACATAAAAGAATAATAATTGGTCTGGTATAATTATTGAGTCTTTAAGCACATTTCTTATTGGCAAGAAGATGCCACTAGAAACTGAACTATGTTCAGTGTTACAGGGAAAATGACTATCAACAAGACTTTTTATATTCACACAAACTCTCACTGAAGGACGAGAACAAAATAATGACGTTTTCTGACTAAAGAAATTTACCATGCACAGGTCCTTAGTGAAAAATATCGCTATTGTATCTACTTCAACAAAAGGAAAAGTAAATCCAAAGAAAATCTATGGAATTAAAGACACAACCATGAACACAGAACTAAATTTTTAAAAGCTGGTAAATTTGATTAAAAACTGTCACGAAAATTAAAAGAAAAAGTATAAGCCAATGTTCTTGACAAGCACAGATGTAAAAATCTTCAACAAAATATTAGCAAACTGAATTCAGCAATATATTAAAAAGATCATACACCATGATCAAGTGGAATTTATTCCTGGTTCAATATACACAAATCAATTAACGTTATACACAACATAAACAAAATCAAGGATACAACCTATATGATCATATCAATTAATGCAGAAAAGTATTTGACATAAATCCAACATCCATTTATGATAAAAACTCTCAGTAAAGTTGAAATAAAAGGAAGGAACATATTTCAATGTAGTAAAGGTCATATGTGGCAAACCCATAGCTAACATCATTCTCAATGGTGAAAAACTAAAAGTGTTCAGCAACAGGACAATGATGTCCTCTTTTACCACTTTTTTTTTTTAAAACAATTAAGAAAAATTTTTTTCTTTATTGATTTTATTTTTTATTTTTATTTGTTTATTTATTTTTTTATCCTCACCCGAGGATATTTTTCCATTTTTTGTACAGATAGAATGGGAGGGAGAGAGAGGAAGGGAGAGAGAGTGAGAAACATCAACGTGAAGGGACACATTGAGTGGCTGCCACCCGCATGACCAACCAGGGCCGGGGACAAACTGCAACCGAAGTACATGCTCTTAGCGGGAACCGAACCCGGGTCTCTCCGGACCGCAGGCCGACGCTCTAACCGCTGAGCCAAACTGGCCAGGGCTTCTTTATTGATTTTAGAGAGAGAGTAAGGGAGAGGGAGAGAGAGTTAGAAACAACGATGAGAGAGGACATCAACAGGCTGCATCCTGCATGCCCCACACTGGGGATCTGACCCATAACCTGGGCATGTGCCCTGACCAGGAATCGAACCTGCAACCTCTTGGTTCATGGGTCAATGCTCAATCACTGAGCCACACTGGCTGGGCCTCTTTCACCACTTTTATTCAACATCGTAATGGAAGTTCTTGCTATAGCAATCAGAGAAGAAAAAGAAATAAAAGGCATCCAAATAGAAAAGGAAGAAGTAAAATTGTCATTATTTGCACAGGACATGATACTACATAGAAAGAACCCTAAATTCCACCAATAAATGAATTAAGTAGGATATAAAGTTAATATTAAAAATTGGTTGCATTTTTATACACCAAGAACAAGCTACCAGAAAAATTAAGAAAACAATGCCATTTACAATTGCATCAAAAAATAAAATACCGCCCTGGCCAGTTTGGCTCAGCGGTTAGAGCGTCAGCCTGCGGTCCGGAGAGACCCGGGTTCAGTTCCCGCTAAGGGCACATACTTCGGTTGCAGTTTGTCCCCGGCCCTGGTTGGTCGTGCGGGTGGCAGCCACTCGATGTGTCCCTTCACGTCGATGTTTCTCTCTCTCTCTCCCTTCCTCTCTCTCCCTCCCACTCTATCTGTACAAAAAATGGAAAAATATCCTCGGGTGAGGAAAAAAAATAAAAATAAAAATAAATTAAAAAAAAATAATAATAATAATAAAAAAATAAAATAAAATAAAATACCTAAGAATAAATTTAACTAAGGAGGCAAAAGATCTATGTGTGGAAAACTATAAAACACTGAAGGAACAAACTGAAGAAGATACAAATAAATGGAACAATATAGCATGCTCATGGATAGAATGAATTAATACATTAAAATGTCCATACTACCCTAAGCAATCTACAAATTCTGTGTAATTCCTATCAAAATACCAATGACATTTTTCACAGAAATAGAACAAATAACCCTAAAATGTGTATGAAACCACAAAAGATCTTGAATAGCCAAAGCAATTTTGAGAAAATAGAATAAAGTTGGAGGTATCACACTACCTGACATCAAACTATACTACAAGGCTACAGTAATTAAAACAGCATGGGGTCCAGCTGGTGTGGCTCAGTGGTTGAGTGTCGACCCATGCACCAAGAGGTTGCCGGTTCGATTCCCAGTCAGGGCACATGCCCAGGTTGTGGGCCAGATCCCCAGTGGGGGGCATGCAAGAGGCAGTCGGTCGATGTTCTCTCTCATTGATGTTTCTCTCTCTCTCTCTCTTTCCCTTTCTCTCTAAAATCAATAGAGAAAAAAAAAATTAAAAAAAAAACAAAAAACAGCATGGGGTATTGGCATAGAAACAGACACATAGACTAATGAAACAGAACAGAGAACCCCAAAATAAACCCACATCTCTATGGTCAATCAGTCTGTGACAAAGAAGGCAAGACTATAACAATGGGGTAAAGACAGTCTCTTCAATTAGTGGTGCTGGGAGAACTGAACAGATACATGCAAATACTGAAACTAGGCCATTTTATTACACCATATACAAGAGTAAACTGAAAATGGATTAAGGACATAAATATAAGACCTGAAACCATAAAACTTCTAGAAGAAAAGGAATAATTGTTGTGGCATCGCACTTAGTAGTATATATATATATACACACACACATATATATGGATAGATCTGCTCAGGCAAGGAAAACTAAAGAAAAAATAAACAAATGGGACTACTTCAAAGGAAAAAGTTTCTGCACAGCAAAGAAAACCATCAACAATACAAAAAAGACAACCTACTAAATGGGAGAAGATATTCACCAACGATACATCCTATAAGGAGATAATATCCAAAATGTGTGAGAAACTCATACGACTCAACACCAAGCAAAACATATAATCCAATTTAAAAACTGGCAAAGAACCTAAATAAATACTTCTCCAAAGAGGATGTGCAGATGGTCAAAAGACATATGAAAACATATTAATCATCAGGGAAATGTAAATTAAAACCACAGTGAAATAACACTTCACTCCTGTCAGAGTGGCTACCATCAATAAATCAACAAATAAAGGTATTGGTGAGGATGTGCAGAAAAGGGAACCTTCATACACTGTTGGTGGAATTGTAAATTGGTACAGCCAGTATGGAAAACTCTATGGAGGTTCCGCAAAAAATTAAAAACAGAACTACAATATGACCCAGCAATTCCACTTCTGGGTATTCTTCTGAAGAAATTCAAAACTCTAATTCAAAAAGATATATGTACCATTATTTACAGTAGTTAAGATACAGAAGCAACCTAAGTGTCCATTGATACATAAATGGATAAAGATGTGGTACATCTATCCAATATTACTCAGCCATGAAAAAGAATGAAATCTTACCATTTGCAAGAACATGGATGGACCTAGCAAGCATCATGCCAAATCAAATCAATCGGACAGAGAAAAACAAATACCATATGACTTCACTTGGATTGGGTGAAAAAGGTGAAAGGAACAAAGAAGTACAAATTTCCAGTAATAAAAGTAGTCATGAAGATGTGAAGTACAGCATGGGGAATACAGTCAATGATAACTATATATGGTGTCAGATGGGTACTAGACTTAAGGAGGTAATCATTTCATATGTCTTATCACTATGTTGTACAGTGGAAACTAATAGAACATTGTATATCAACTCTAACTGGAAAAATAAATTTAAAAAAGTTTGTCTGATTCTAAGTCCACATTCTCAATCAATTTCTATTCATGCCAGATGGCATACCTGCTACAGTCTCAATTTCCCCTCACCCGGTCAGCTGTTTCTTTGTATTGAGATAATGCATCCTAATTAGACTGTTTAAATTTTCTTTTTGCTATGGCCTAGAAAGAAAAGCCAAGTGTCTTAAATCAGTGTCCTATTTTACCCACAGTCAAAATGGATTTTAGCTCCAAATAAAGCTTCTTTTATGCTGCTTGATGTTTTAACTCCCAGGATGTGTTCTTTAGACTATATAAAAGAAGAAAAAGTTAAACAATCCACTACCAGTACCACCTCTGTGTACAAAAGGAGACAACATCCAACATGTGTTGTCTCCTAGGAGAGGTGACTAAAAATGTACACATAGACAACTTCAGAGACTGAATAATATTACATCCATTACTGCTGTAGCCTATGTGTTTATAATTAAGGCCTGAGTAAAAATGATGAAGTAATTCTTGATCAAATGCTGTCTATATTCTGTGAAATCTACTGTATCATTTTTGCAAGACTGAGGTAAATCCTCAAATATTCTATCTGGGCTTCTTCTGAAATATACTGGTGACAGTTAAATTTGCAAAGGTTTTATGATTCTCCTATCTCCCACACTGGACACTGTCACTTCCTATTTTTATTTCTATTGGATTTCTGACTTTTACGATTTAAAAAAATGTTTTCAATTACAGTTGACATAACAATATTGTATTAGTTATATAACTGGACTTCCTAGTTTTAATTTGCTATCTAAGATGATCCAGGAACCCTATCAAAAAGAGTAATTGGTTTTATATATAATTATTTACATCAAGTACTAAACAATCCAGTGACATTTTAAAGATGAAGCAGCATATTTGAAATTCATTGCACCTCACTGAAGAAATTCTACTATTGCCTGTAAATGAAATAGTGACGTCAACATAAGGGAAAACTTCCTATATTTAAAACTAGGCCTTCTCTGTCCCTTTTTTGTGTGGTAAAAATACACATAACACATTTATCATATTAACCATGTTTAAGTGTACATATCAGTGGCATTAAGTATATTCACATTGTTAGAAAACCATCACCATTATCCATCTCCAGATTATTTTCATCATCCCAAACTTAAACTCTGTACCCATTAAACAATAACTTCTTATTCTTTCATACCTCCAGCCTCTGGTAATGACTCGTCTCTATGAGTTTGCCTATTCTAGTTACCTTATATAAATGGAATCATACAACATTTGCCTTTTTGTGTCTGGCGTAGTTTTCAAAGTTCATCCATGTTGTAGCATGTATCAGAATTTCATTCCCTTTGTAAGGCTGAATAATATTCTGCTGTATGTATATACCACATTTGGTTATTTATCTGTTGATGGACACTTTGGTTGTTTCCACATTTGGTTATTTTGAATAATGCTGCTATGAACACTGTTTTCAGTCTTTTACACATCAGACTAGTGAAGGCTAACTTTCTTTCACAGCACAGTAGCATCACATACCACAGTAAAGAGTTTTCGCTGTAATGGCTGATATGATGTCACTTCCTTCAAAGTCCAAGAACAAGCCATGCTTGGTCTCTGTCCCATTCCACTGCAGGGTGCATCAAGAAGAATTCGGTCAAAAGATTCTGGAAAGAATGGAGGCTCTCCTATAAAGAAAAGCATAACCATATTTATATCTTCCCTACTGGTCTACAATAAAAAACTCCTGAGAAGAAGCAATTATTAGAAATTTAAAATCATAGTCTGGAATAGCAAGTAAAAAAAAAGAAAAAAGTTTCTCCCTTCAATCAAGTACCTGGTGAAACTAGTTCTGACTTATATTTAATATAGATCTGACTTTATAAAAAGGTCAAAAATGGGATTATTACAGGGTTATTCTGTTGATACTGTGAAAACCAAGGCCTACTCAAATGGGACTTTGTATCATCAATGTCAGAAGCCACAATTCCTGAAAACTAGGACCTCGAATGAATTCAAGTCGTTCTGAGAGCCAATACTTCCCTTGGTACTCCCAGAAAATAAAGCACCTTTGAGGTTCTAGTCAAACATACTCATTCTGTGGTTTCTCTGCCTCCTTGCTTCTGTGGCCATCGGCCAGGCATGCTCTACAACGAGTTAAAAAACCCCTGGACCCAAACTTCCATAGGTTTCCCTCTGGAATCATTTAACTAATTTTCTCCACTCCAACTTTTGATCTGTTTAGTGTTACTGGAGAAAGTCATACAACCAAACAGTCTGCTTATATATTTATGTGAGCTAGCTGCAAGCAAGATAATGCTGCTGACTGCATTGATACAGTTGACTTCCTACAGTACCCACAGTGCTTTTCTCCGACTGCAAAACTGTCAGACACAAACTCTTACCGATTTAATTCCTTTCTATCTGTAACCATCCTTGCTATCTTACCTACTGTCTCAGAAGAAATTTTTTCAATGTAAAGAATTATTTTCAAGGTTTTTGATATATACTGATAAGCATCCTCTAGAAAGACTATACCAATTTATACTTCCATTACCATGAGTGTATTTGTCTTCCCCAAATCCCAATAAAGGTTGACAATTATTTTATTGCCATTTGTATTTTTTCTTTATATGGTCACATTCTTTTATTTTTGCTCCTTTTCTACTGATATTGTTGTATTTCCCTTATTAATTAGAAGAGCTCTTTGTATATTAAGAATCTCTTCTCTGAATTTTTGGATCTTTCTATATATGTAACTGTTGAAGATTAAATATATCCTATCCTTGTTGACTTTTACCTTTACTTTCACGCTTTAAAATCTCAATTTGTGCAATCAGATAAATGTTCATCTTCACCTGTTTCTAGTTATTTTCAGTTTAATTCTTTAAACTCCTTAATCCAACTTGAAATTAGTTTTGTATATATCCTCCCCCACCCTCCAAATAATTTGCTTTAGACCTATTTATTAACTAATTTATTCTTTCTTCCGGGTTTGAAATGCTTCTTTTATCGTATACTAAATTCTTGTATGTACAGGGGCCCATTTCAAAGGCTTTTGCTTTGCCCTAAATATGTTAGCTATTAATCTATGTTTTCTGAGATCCAATCTACCCTTCTTTCCTCTGCTATGTGATTGGAGGTGGGAACTCTGAACAATTCTCCTTTGCTTTCTGGCTTCCTCTCAAGATTCACCAGCAGGAGACAGAGGAGAGTTGGGGGTGGGGAGGTGAGAGACAAGGAGTACAGAAAGGACTTTCTCATTCCTGTTTGTTTGCTACTTCTGTCAAAAGCATCCCAACAATAGCCCTTTACCTTGGCAGTTGCAGCTTCTAGCTGCGCCCATTAAGTATCAGTCTGGAGTAGACACAGACCCCTCCCTCAGAGGTCTGAGCCCAGCTCCTTCACAATGCCTGCTTTGGGTCCTAAGGAAGGAGAAGCAGCTGGGTAGCACCCACTTCCTTAGAGCTTTGAATTCCAGCTCCATAGAGCCTCTTCTCTAAGCTTTTTGATTCTAATAAGCAAACCTCCTCCCTTTATTTCTCCTGCTACAGAGGTAGACGCTGCTTTCTGCAGTTACTACCTCTAGGTTGCCTAAGTAATCTTTTGCTTTTCAGCTTTCCAACATCTATTTAACGGACTCTTATACTGTACCTTTGTACTAAATTGCCTCTCTTTGGTATACATTTATACTAAATTCTCTTTATTGAAATACCTGGCATAGTTTTATTTTGAATCCTGTGGCCAGATGAATTCTCCTAAATCACAGCTCTCAACAAATTATTCATTTCTCTGACATTAATAAAACCAAAAAATATTGTTAGTTCCACAATATTGTTAGCTACCTAACACTATGAAATAAACTCTACAGATTAACAAATAAAGACCAATAATAATCTGGCCTCATCTATTTCTCCAGCTGCATTTCACTGTACTCTCCCATATTCACCAATGTTAAGAACAAAGTAAAACAGAACATTACTTTGTTACCCAAAGATGCATGAACTTTCCTATCTGTATGCCTCTGCTAATTCTCTTTACCTGAGATGTCTCTTGCAATCATTTCCATTTGTTAAAATGCTACCTGCCCTTTCAAAACCTAAGAAATGCTACCTGCTCCCCTAAACTCTTTTTCTATTGTCCCTGTGAGAAATAAACATTCTCTCTGACATCATTTTGTATTTTTCAAATACAGTCTTAACACTAGTGGCTTAAAATATAGTCACTAGTGTTCATGTCTTATCTCCCTTCTTCCCGCCCTCCCACCCCCCCAAGGCACTAAAGAATCCTTAAAAGCCAGGAAATCTGCAGGCCCACAGACACTTTTGTGTGAACTAGAACTACGGGTCCCTACCTCTGGATTACCAGGGTCCTGCACAAGAAGAACAAAGCAGAGGCTGGATTTCAGGCCCCCTCGCGCCATGGCCTGGTGCACCCGGACGGGGCACTGCCGTACACTGTGGCCTGATGAGGGCAGTAGCAACGCCTAGTCACTGAACCCACTGTTCCTAATAAATACAATTTCCATAGAAGGTACTAGATGACTATAAAGAAATTAAATTAAGAAATTTATAAAAATATTCTAAACTGTCTTTGATCAGACCCAAAATCACCAAAATGCACCTGTTCCAAGTAAAATTTCTTATTCAAAACGAGAAAGGCATGGGATATACTTGTAAGGCTTACATGCAGTATAAGAGTACCAATATTTTTATTTAGAAAAACCTTTTCTCATAATATAATCTTGAAACTACCTTTAGAGAATTCTAAAGTTGCATTATTTTGGAATGGCATATAATTCAGGAATAATTTTATGTTAAAAGTAAATAAAATTGAGACAACTTTTGGAATGAGGGCAATAGGAGTCCCACAACCTTTTCTCCAATGAAACCAAAATAACTGGTGAAAATTATGAAAAACAAAAACCACCATTTAAAGTCTCTAGAAAATGTCCAGGACACATATGAAATGAAGAAACATTTATTCAAGAAAATATAGATCTCAGTAAGAATAGTGAGAATCTATGGCAACTGAACCACAATCCGTTCACTCCTTTGTCCCAACTGCCTCTCTCTCCTCCCTGAAGCTTAGAAATAAGATCTACTTCATGTGGGTGCAGCCAAGAACACATGCCTCCTCAATCCCTAAGCTCCCAGTCAAGGGATGTGGGATCTCACCGGGAAGGACAGGTCTGCCAGCATTTCTCATCTTCCCTCCCCTCAAGTTCCATGTCGCAGAAGCTCAACTCCAGGTAAGAGCAGCTGAAAACTCTGGGGCTGCCTTCCTCCACCCGCCCCAATTCATAGCTGGGCAGCTCTACCTCAGGCACAGAAGCTGAGAACAATAAAGCCCCAACTGCCCTCACCCCAATTCACTGATGGTGAAGAAGTTCCCTCCTGGGAGAGGCAAGCTGAAAAAACAGAGGTTGCCAACCCAACCTAGCACTGTGCTTCTCATTCATTAAGTGTCACTCCAAGAGAAATAGGTCACTATCTTGCCCTCATCTCTGGAACAGTAAGCCAGAGATTTTGCCAAAGGGGAGAGGTAGCAAGTAAAAACAGAGCTCAGGTGCTCTCCCTAAGTGAACTATTTTTAACACAATGGCAGGAAGTTTAAGCCTAAAGGAACTCTTGAAAATCATGGAGATTGAGGTGGTAAGCATGCAGCGGTTCTCAACCTGTGGGTGGTGATGCCTTTGGGGGTAGTATGACTATTTCAAAGGGGTCGCCTAAGATATAACAGTAGCAAAATTATAGTTATGAAGTGGCAATGAAAATAATTTTATGGTTGGGGGTCACCACAACATGAGGAACTGTATTAAAGGGTTGCAGCATTAGGAAGGTTGAGAACCACTGCTCTAGAAGGTATTTTGCTCAGTATAGTAAGTCAGAGAAAGACAAATTATATATGATTTCATTTACATGTGGAATCTAAAATACAAAATAAATGAACAAACAAAACATAAACTCATTTACAGAGAACAAATTGATGGTTACTGGGTGGGAGAGGGGTTGGGTGAAAAAGAAGAAGGGATTAAGAAGTACAAATTGCTGCCCTGGCCGGTTTGGCTCAGTGGTTAGAGCGTTGGCCTGAGGTCTGGAGAGACCCGGGTTCAGTTCCTACTAAGGGCACGTACCTCGGTTGCAGTTTGTCCCCCGCCCTAGTTGGGTCGTGTGGGTGGCAGCCACTCGATGTGTCCCTTTCACGTCGATGTTTCCCTCTCCCTCTCTCCCTCCCATACTATCTGAACAAAATATCAAAAAATGTCCTCGGGTGAGGATTAAAAAAAAAAGTACAAATTGCTAGTTATAAAAATAGTCATGGGGATGTAAAATACATCATAGAGAATATATAGTCAATAATATTTGATAACTATGTATGGTAGTATCAGTTCAGTACTAGACTTATCAGGGTGACCATTTTGTAAGTTTTAGAAATATCTAATTACTATGTTGTACACCTGAAACTAATATAATATTGTATGTCAACTTTAATTGAAAAGTTCAATTTTAATAAAAATTCAAAAAAATGTGAATGGATTAAGTAATCCAACCAAAAGACAGATTATCATATTAGAGTTTAAAAGAACAAGGCACAGTTGTATATTATCTTCAGGAAACTCAACGATATAAATAGGGTAAAAGTAAAAGAATGAAAAAAAAATCATATAAAAAGGAACCATAAGGAA